GAGACAGGAAGTCAATAAAGTGAACATTTTACTGTTGTGAGACAGGAAGTCAATAAACTGAACATTTTACTGTTGTGAGACAGGAAGTCAATAAAGTGAACATTTCACTGTTGTGAGATAGGAAGTCAATAAACTGAACTTTTCTAGCTGCGAAAATTAAGTGGTTTACTGTGCACCCCTCCTTCACTGTAAATAGTTGTATGACTCACTGTTGTGACCATGATATAAGGTTGTTTATAGTATAATAATAATAATTCACACTTATATTGTGCTTTTTACATTACTGATTGATCAAAAGCACATAACAATAAAATACAAAATATTCAGCAATAAACAAAACAAAATAAACACTATTTATATGGTCATACAATCATAGATTAAATGCCTTCATGAATAAAAAAGTGTTTAGTTCTGCCTTAGAGATGTTCTGTGGATTGGAAGTGTACTCTAAAGGTGTGGATGACAAACATTGTATCCCTACATATCAGTCTGGACCTGGTTACCTCATGGAAACATAGCAGAAGACTTAAGATTGGTGGCATATATGGTTTTAACATTTCAGTAATGTAATACTGTTTCATTCACGTAGTTGTCCACACTATAAATTTACTATACACTCCCTCCCTTAGTTGACCAAATATGTTAGTTAATTATAATATAATGTAATATTGTCATACTTGCTTTTAGACCAATACTTAATAACTTTTAATAATGTTTTTTATTTTAATGTATTTTAATTGACTGTTCTAAAATAAAATGTAGACTATTTTCATTTAACATTTTGTTCAAAGAAATATAAACCAGCTAAGTAAACTGCTTATGGTTTTTCAAATGCTTGCCTGGTAAGATTGTCAAATGGGAGATCTTTGACACATAATGTTATCACAGAATAGCAATTTTAAATTCCTCCACTAATAGCAGGCTACCAAGTTCTGATCTCTTTGCTATGTTACTGCTTACATATACAAGTTGTTATCAGGTACAAGTATAACACCAGCATATTGCACTAATAGCAGGCTACCAAGTTCTGATCCCTTTGCTATGTTACTGCTTACATATACAAGTTGTTATCAGGTACAAGTATAACACCAGCATATTGCACTAATAGCAGGCTACCAAGTTCTGATCTCTTTGCTATGTTACTGCTTACATATACAAGTTGTTATCAGGTACAAGTATAACACCAGCATATTGCACTAATAGCAGGCTACCAAGTTCTGATCCTTTTGCTATGTTACTGCTTACATATACAAGTTGTTATCAGGTACAAGTATAACACCAACATATTGCACTAATAGCAGGCTACCAAGTTCTGATCTCTTTGCTATGTTACTGCTTACATATACAAGTTGTTATCAGGTACAAGTATAACACCAACATATTGCACTAATAGCAGGCTACCAAGTTCTGATCCCTTTGCTATGTTACTGCTTACATATACAAGTTGTTATCAGGTACAAGTATAACACCAACATATTGCACTAATAGCAGGCTACCAAGTTCTGATCCCTTTGCTATGTTACTGCTTACATATACAAGTTGTTATCAGGTACAAGTATAACACCAACATATTGCACTAATAGCAGGCTACCAAGTTCTGATCCTTTTGCTATGTTACTGCTTACATATACAAGTTGTTATCAGGTACAAGTATAACACCAGCGTACTGCACTAATAGCAGGCTACCAAGTTCTGATCTCTTTGCTATGTTACTGCTTACATATACAACTTGTTATCAGGTACAAGTATAACACCAGCGTATTGGTGCCTTGAATACATTATAGTGATTGGATGATACCTTGTTTTAATTTATCCAAGCCATGGTTAAATCATCTGTCTTTTACCTCCATGGTTAAATATAGTATAATAATGCACATTGATTCACAGCCATGCTAATATTGAATTTTTGAAATAGGGTTAATGTTCAAAATTCTCTTGGTTTCAGGGGTTTGTTATCTAAAATTTTTGCCATATTGCTATTCACAATATGTTCAATTCAACTTGGTATTTTGAAAAATATGTTGTTTCCTTTGTGACAATGGTAATTCACATGCAACCAAACTTTTTTTTTTATCAAAAGTCGGAATATTGTCTCCCCTCCCCAGATCAGTTTTATTTTGTTTGGTGTCTATCAAGTATGACAGTGTCTTTTTATGTGAATAATTTAAGTTAATTCTTTGCATGTGCTATCATGTGGTTTCTTAATAATAGAGCAAAAATGATTTTGAGCTGTATGTCTGCTTTATTTTTAGTTCCTGATGATAAAGAACTTGAACTTGAGAGGCCTGTCACTCCAATTGATGTAAGTTACATTTATTTCTGTCATTATTTTAACAGTTACTTGAAGTGAAAAAGTGAGAAAGTCATTAATTAAACCATTACTCAACATACATGTATACATACATTTCCTGATCACTTGAATAAATAAGTTATGTTCAACCTATGTTTGCCAGTATGGGCTAAAATGTAAGTTAATTCCTTATGTAGATCTAGTATGGAGCTGGAACATTTCTAAGTCTGTGTACTGATATATGTATTTTTATTGTCAACAGAAAAGCATTGACTCACCAACTATTGAACTTAATGAGTTAGCCAACTTAGTACGGAGGAGGATTGTAGCCGATCCTAATATAGAGTATTTATCAGTGGAAGACCAGGAAGCATTGGTATGTGTACAGCCACTTTAAATAATGTAATCAATAATTATCATGTCACTTAGTGACACATTGCTGTCATGTATGAATAGGAGTCAGAGATATCATTAAATAATACTCCCCATATGTAATTATAAAACTATTACTATCTATATGTATTTTTATATTTTAGATATTTGTTTTTTATTAAATGTTATGTGCTTTATTTTTTAGTTAATTTTTCTTTTGATAGTTATTAATAAAAGTAATATTCTATTGTTTTCTATGTAGGCTGCTATTACTATGGGAGAAGTAAATGATGTCTGGCCAGATGTTAGAAAACAAGTAGATGATCCATTTCTAGTAAGTACATGTATTTTATTTATGTCCTTAAAAACAACTCATTGTATTCTATAATATTTATATCTGTGTAATGTTTATTTTTGTGTAAAGAGTTGTTATATTATGGCATTGGACACAATCAAATAATCAATATTACAGGCACAAATCCACTATATAAAATATAAGATTCAAACTCATAATAACTATTACAACTATAAATTCCTCTGTCTTGACATTAGACACCATCACAAAACAGAGAATTAAAAAGAAGAATTACAGTGCATATTGTAACAGTCTGTCAACAGTTGTTTCAACATTATGTAGCTAAAGCTCAAAGTAAGTAAATTTCTTTAGAACATGCAGGTAATTCAATACAATATTTATGGGGAATGATTGTGAAAATTGGAATTTTGAAAACTAGTGCTGTTACAGTAATACTATTATGTATGTAGATTACAACTACCAGTATTACAGTAATACTATATAGATTACACCTTTTACATTAATAGTCATATGTAGGTTACAACTGTTACATAATAATATGTACATTAAAACTTACAGTAATACTAGTATGTAGATTACAACTGTTACAGTAATACTAATTTGTCGATTACAACTTTTACATTATAGATCAAAACCTCATTACCGTCATGATAATTAATGGACTGTAACTATTACCGGTACAGTAATACTAGTTTGTAGGTTAAATTCCCTTAATAATACTGATTGACAATTTCTTGGGTTTTTTTCCTTGTATAATAGTACTGAAAAAAAGGGGTGTGTTTAGTGGGCCTGCTAATATGAGTCGTCTAAAAGCACAGCTTGGTCTAGATGTCAATAAATTGTAAGTACATGTTTCAGTTCATTTCTATATTATAACTACCTGTTATTTACTTCCATTGCTTATGATTTCTTTCTTCCTTGTTTTAGTTTAAATATTTTAGCAATTCGTCGTCATATTGTTGCTGATTTACGTGGAAAACGTGCAAGTTCTGATGATGATTCAAGTGAAGATGAAGTAAAAACTACAGTCTCTGCTGCACCACTGTCCTACAAAAAACTTGTAAGTACATTGTATATATATACGAGATAAACTTCGCTCATTCAGTGTACATTGTGTATGCTCCCAGTCTGTTGGCTCTCAACCCCAGTTATCATCATACATTTAAGTTAGGAACCAAGCTCCAAAATAGAGCAGTCTTAAAAATTTAGTCATCAACAAATTCTACTAAATACTAATGTGTCTACACAACCTATTTCAGAGTTCATTGGTCAGCAAGCAGGCCCTGACCTACTATGAACAATTGATTAGTATATGTGGTATACTGGTTTTCAGACTGACTGATGCATTTGCCAATCTCCACCAACTTGTTCATAGTTTTTCCTACCACTCAACTCACTGGGAGACTGTGTGACAACTAATATTAAAAATTACATGATTTCAGATTGAAATTAGCCGTCCGAAGCGAAAAAAGAAAGGCCAGTTTAAACTGAATCGAGAGATTCGTGATATGGAACGACAGATGCCATACCTTGAAACACACAAGGTGTATGACCTGCTTCCAGATCTCAGTCATTTCATAAAGGATGAAGATGAAGAAGAGGATACAGAAACTGTGTCAGAGAAGTTCTCTGAGATGCCACCATATGGAAAAAGCAGTTCAAAAGATAGTTTTCACCTGTCAGGGTGAGTGATAAACATTTTAACACTAGTATGGAACATATTTGTACCTGACTAAATCACAATTTATACAATCTTTCAAAATATAAAGTTAATTTTAAGGACAATTATGATTTTGTACAACTCTTTATTACTGCATACAATCTTCCTCATTGTATAAAACACTCAAATCATGTCAAAAGCTATTTGGTAACAGAAGGTACCTCATACTCTATTATAGGAAACTTGGTGAAGAACGATCCGAGTTCAGACTACATAAGTGTAATTCCTTACCAGATTTAGTAGGCTATGAAACACTGGCTGAGGAACTCAGTTTAGATGAAGATGGTAGAACTAGTGTTAAATCTTCCTATCATCCTGATATCTTAACAAGACCTTTCACTGTTGATGAACCTGAGGTAAGAACACCTTGTATTTTTATACTTTGTTGTCTGTCAGCCAGCATTAGCTGTGATTGCCCTGATAAATGGCAATGATAACGCATGAATGTTAGAGGTGCCCTTGCAAGAAACAGTCACCATAGTGAAGGTAAACAAGAGAGTAACACAAATGTCCAGTATGTTATGTGTACTATATATTTGGCCAATGAGTAACTGCACATATCTCTTTTTACATTTCACAGGAGGAAGAAAAAGATGAAGAACTTGATGTGAAAGGTAGACCAGACACTAGACAAAAATTACAGCAAGATTTGATGAAATTATCACAATATCGATCAATGAGAGAAGCTAAAGAAGAACAACTAGATGAAGAAGATCTTCCACCGTTATTACAAGTAAATATTTACTACAGCATTCTAGAGTCATGTTGCTTGTAATTTCATTTGCCAGTGTGTGTCACCTCTAACTAGATCTGACCAACTACTCTTAAGGTAGTTTGCTACCATTAAAAAAAATACTCTGAAATCTTCAAAATCCAGCAAGAGGGGTTAGGTTACTGTAATGTTCAAAAAATATATGGTTACCAAAGTTTTCCACAAAACGACCTCTCAAAATGCATTTTTTGAATACTGCAAAGGGGTTAATTATTAACTGGGTTTTAATTTTGCTTATTTCGCTGACTGAAAAATGTGCATAATTAAAACCCAATGAATATGTAAAATTTAGCAGAGAACACATTATCTAAAGGATAAAACCGTGAACTTAAAACCCACTGAATATTCCTGAAATGGTAAATCAGCAAAATTTAAACCCAGTGAAAATTAGTCATTTAACAGTAATTTACATTTGGTTCCCATGGCAGAAACATTCCTTCATATCTCAAAATTTTGTTTGGTGACCTATGCTCAAAATATTATATGTGTAGTGATGAGGGCTAAATATCCTTCTTTAAAAACATTAAATATGAATGGCGAGCATGTGTGCATCATAAAACAGTCTTTGAATGATTTACTGCCATCACATTTTTCTCATTTTTAACAGTATCAAACGACCTTAAAAGCCATGTTCAAGAAGGTTTCCTCTGACAGGGTTTGTTAACCAATTACAGCATTCCTTACTAGAAAGTGGGCTGTAACATGAATTATGATTTTTTTTCTTTTTGTAGGCCAATTCCACACACGGACAAGTAGAGGGCCGCAAAGAAATGTTACAACAGCAGTTGAAGGAACTTGAAGAAAAAGAAGCCAGAGAAAAAGCAGAACAAATGTAAGTTATCGTCAATACTTGGCCACTAGTTTGATATTGTAAGAGGTGATTCTACAATAAATCAATACACATGTTCCATCAAGTAAGTTTTTGTTTTGATATGCTCGTTCATATCATCTTGAAATTACAGCCGTACTGAAAATTATTCGGACAGTCAGTTAGCAATATATCTTGGAGCTTTGTAAAACACTTGGGTCTTTTCAATCTAGACTTGTTTGCGCCGTTGTATTGGCATGCCCACAATTGGAATCATTCCAATATCTTGCAAGATGCAAGTAAAACGCTGTTTTCAAAACGACACGCGCTGGTTACCATACATTAACAGGTTATATGTTGCATATGCATTCAAAGTGTTATTTTAAATTAGCGCAATTTACAAAACAACTCCCGAGTGTTGAGTAACCCCAGGTATTAATGGACTCGTCGTTGGCAGAAAGGCTCAAAGTAAAGTTTCTTAGCGGGACGTGCTGCAGTTTCACGACAGTTTTGGGCCAAACTAAAAGTTGTTTTTACATTACTGGTGCATTATGTATCAAATTCAGATTGTATACCGAGGTGGGAGAATACGCCAGGGATACACAGACGGAAAATCAAAAGTGCCTTCCTTGATCGAATCACTTTTACAACTGCAGTTTGAAAATGACGGGGTATAACGACCGTTATTATGTCCAATCCATTTTTGTAACAGGTACAACTGACTAAAATGAGCGAGGGGGTTGACATTTTTCGACAAATTTAAGCAACACACAACTTGTGATTTTCAAAATTACTGAAAATAATTACAATATGATTATGAAAAATAAAGAATGGTTGCTATAAACGCACGCTAGATAATACTTGCAATTCACCAAGCCGACAACCCCTATGAAATAGTAATTCCAAACCACGTACCTGTCACTCAAGTGGCACCGACAAGTCGAGATTGGGCAAAGACCAAAGTGTTGCAAGTCAATTTGCTAACTGACTGTCCGAATAATTCTCAGAACGGCTGTAAAGGATTTACCAAGAATTTTCTGCTTGGTTTCAGGATTAAGATTCGTAAACCAACACATCCGCAGCCTTCTACTATAACAAAGAAGATGCCAAACCAACAAGTTGTCAGAACATCAGACATTAGAGTATCTGAACGCGTTAGTTTGTCATCTGTTACATTAGAAATGAACACCACTGTCTATAATGAACTTGTGGGTGATGTAAGTCTCATTTTGTATGAAATCTAATACCTACTGCCAAAAGAGAAATATATTACACCATTAATATATATCTAGCACTGAAACAATATAGTTTTTACCATTACGTTCAAAGCAATATCTGTGTTCATTTCAAAACATATTTACATTCATTTCAACATATGTGTCATCAAGACTAAACATGATCCGATAGAATCTCATAAAATACAAATGTTCACACAGCTCACAACGTATTTTGTTTGTATTTTTGGCTGTCATCTATTTTTAAATTATTACCACAAACAGATATTTTATTTGTGTGCTTCTATTGGAAATACACTTCTAATCTAGCAAATACAGTATATTTTTGGCTTAAATATAAATAGAGTAATGTAGTACTGCAATTTATCTTGAATTGATATCTTGAGGAAGTTTGTGAGGATGACATTTTCAGAACCACAGATTTCACTGACTCTCATGATGTCATTAGTGTCATGTAATGTACAGTAAATGGTGTGAATATAATCTCATCCAATATGGCACTATCAAGATTTATTTTTGTTATTACAATGTTTTATATGGCTATTGTTTGATGTTCACAGATTGATCCTCATACATTGAAAAGGTTGGACAGAAACTTATTCTTTGGTCAAGAGATAAATGAGGTGTATGAAGAAATTATGAAGACATTACCAAATGATCACTTTAAACATGACCAGGTAGGTTTAATCTCATGTAGATGCGTATGAACAGTTTAAACTTGCTGAAAGCCAATGAATATTGTCTGAATACCATGTATTGGTATATAATGTCAACAAATGATGGTTTATTGGAGTAGACAAACCTGATTTAAAATGTATACCATAGTAAAATGAATGAAATTCTACATAGCTACTGTGCAGTAATTTTAGTTAGCATGTGCATATTATCATATTAAATTTGTGAAATGAAAATCATAGTTTAATGTCTTTTTTATCACTTTCTCTTTTCTAGGACGACTTGATTGAAGCTACAGCTGATCAGGTGAATTTATCTGTCCTCTTACCATCTGCAAATCTCAGTAAACACAGAAAAGATCGCATCATGAATCCTACTTTGATAAGGAATATAGCACCACCATGGGGGAATGAAAATGTTACAGAGTGGGCAAAAAGGTAGGATAGAAGATTGTAAGTTACCACAAATATTTTAAATTGTTCAACTCATTGTGTGATAACTACAGTAAAAGGGAAATGGTTGAGTTTCGATTTGTCTCAGATGAACAACAATTCTTGTTTTACTGACGGTTGGATTTGAACTCTCACATCTCCCGAGTTCCATTGCTCCAGTCCACTGAACCACAAAGCCAGTTTTATGTAACATATATTGTATAATTGATGAAACGCAGCATTTGATATCGTTTTAGGAATCTTGAATGTTTGCTTGGACATATTAATTTCTATTGAGACAGATCAAAGTGAGCTGTACATATCAATATTTAGAAGTGACATTTCATTTCAGTGTAATTTTTGTAGTTTATCACTTTGTGCTGAGTGTTCTTTGCATATGTAATGGTATAACCATTGTTGTGCACATATCATGGGTTGAAGTGCCAAGTGGACATCACTCATTTGAACAGATGTCTTTAAAACTGAATTTACATGTTTATTTTTTTTTGTAGTCCATTAAACAATGCTGATCAGTTAAGCAAACAACGAGCCGCTGTGGCCCCAACTCCAGCATCAGGAATGATGTCATTCCAAAACTATGGTGCAACTAGTGGAGGAAGTCAATATGGAGATGCAGCAGTAGGAGGGAATATAATGGATGCTCAGAGTTCTGTCAGTATGCCAACAGGACAGGGAATGATTGATGATCAGAATTCCAGAGCCTATGCATCTTGGTTAAGTTGGTGGAAATCCACAATTAATTCAGATGATTATATGAAGTATTTGTCAACTCAGGTGAGATAAGAACATACATAGTCTAACTTTGAGGTACCAGCTCCTAACTGGTTTAGGTCTGTCCATCTGTGTTTTTTCTCAGCTGTTGATAGACAATTCTGTGTGTGATTTTGTGTGTGATCATAATCAAAGTGGCCATCCGGTGGCCATATTTGATCTAAAAATGGCCTGAAAACCTGTAGAGCATTATTTCAGAGTTGCGCTGACTGATTCATGCTTAAAGAGGCACGTCTTGTACATCAAAAATACTTATTTTTGGTCATTTTTGCTTATAAATTGAAAATGCAATTACTAGGTTCATTTGCTTCACAAAGATGCAAGTTGATTTTGGATGGCTGACTGACGGACTGGAAACCATTTTATTTAAAAAAAATTTCACAATTCTGTTTATCAGTGTGTCATAGCACATCAACAAAAGTTGATCTGTGTCAGGATCCAATCAGAGACAATTGATTATGTATACAGTACATACCAGGTACTTACTGTAACTTGGTGTCGTGCTTCTATTTATAGTTCACTTCTAGTACAGCATAGACCAGTGACTGAAGGTTTTATTCTCATCTTTACACATAGGAATCAGATTATTTAGGAGTTGCATTTCATTTCTATGATAGCGGTGAGGATGATAGTGATGATGAGAAAACTGGAAAAAAAGGACCCTCAACTGCAAGATTAGAGAAAATGAAGTAAGTTGGCAATTAAGAGAGAAAAGTGAAATATTAATTATTGTAATTTTATTTCTATGGAAAAAAAATATTTGAGGGCTGACACTACTGTAAATCTATTTAGAAACCTAGATAGGTACAATGAATTCATATCATAGAAAGTATTACTGCAGTCAGGATATAGTCTCATTCAAAATAAAACATTTTATTTACCTTATAGAGAAAGGAAACAGAAAATTGATGAAATGAAAGTTGAGAAGTCCACTTATGTGCCCGGTTTGTGGAATGCTAATGCCGTGTTAATGGGTGGATTGGGAAAAGATCCTGAAGTTCTAAGTAAGATTCACAACAAACATCTGTAACAAGTTTCATCTTGTAATGTTTATTTAGAAAACATAGTTGACATGTTTCATTAATGCACAGTATGATCTGTCTATTATTAGTCCCCGTTCGGACGAAGTCCGAAAATGGGGACTTATAATTTGGTCTCTGTCCGTCTGTGCGTCCGTCCGGAGTCATATCTCAGAATCCCTTGGGCCGATTCCGTTCATTCTTTGCATGTGCCTAGTACTTTATGTGGGACATATGCACATGCAGTGGTTTAGCGATTTGATTCAAAATGGCCGACTGGCAGCCATCTTGTTTTTTGAAAATGTTGTATTTTGGACATGCTTTGTCAGTTTTCATTCAAACTTGGTACATAGATTATACATGTTAGGATACATGTCCATGACGATTTATTTCACAATTGGATCAAAGATGGCCGACTGGCAGTCATCTTGTTTTTTGAAAATGTCTTATTTTGGACATGCTTTGTCAGTTTTCATTCAAATTTAGTACATAGATCATACATGTTAGGATACATGTCCCCGACCGTCAGTGAGTTCCTGAGTCTGTCCGTCAGTCTGTCCAGAGTCATATTTCAGAATCCTGTGGACCGATTCCGTTCATTCTTTGCATGTTCCTAGTACCTTATGTGGGACATATGCACATGCAGTGGTTAAGCGATTCAATTCAAAATGGCCGACTGGCAGCCATCTTGTTTTTTGAAAATGTTGTATTTTAGACATGCTTTGTCAGTTGTCATTCAAACTTGGTACATAGATTATACATGTTAGGATACATGTCCGTGAGGATTTATTTCGCAATTGGATCAAAGATGGTCGACTAGCAGGCATCTTGTTTGTTTTTTTATGCAGTATCTTAGACGTGCTCTGTCAGTTTTCATTCAAATTTGGCACATACATGTACTGTAGAATACTTTATTTTCGCTTGGAATTTATTTTCGCTATTTTCGCTGAAGGGATGATTCCGTGAAAATAAAATCCAGCGAATATACTTTTTTTCCTATATTTCACATTAAACTCAAAACGCCCAAAAAGCCTTTTCAGCGAAAACTAATTCCAGCGAAAATAAAGTATTCTACAGTACTTTATACATGTTAGGATGCATGTCCATGACAATTTGTTTCAAAATCTGGTCAAGGATGGCCGATTGACAGCCATCTGACTTTTTGGCCTTACTACTATATTTCCACAATTTATGTACCGGTACCATTTTCATTCGTATTTGGCACATACATCATACATATCAGTGTGTTTCATAATCAGATCAAAGATGGCCGAATAATGGCTGTTTTTATTTTTGGCCATATTACTACTACATGGAACACGTGTTTTGATGTAAATAAACAATATGTTGTATACTCCACTTGGAACTCAAGTTTCAAGGACACGCTTGCGACAACCCCTCCGCTTTAATATGATGAGCACAAAGTGAACTTTCAAAATTTAACGGGGACTGTGTCATTTTCAATGACTTGTCATCAGTTTTATGCTCAGTGATTAATTGCTTTTTCATTCAATACTAACAGTTGAAGAGGAGGAAGAGGAGGTGGAAGTGACACCACGCTCTGTTCGATCAAGGCGGTCCAAGCACTCACACACAGCTGCATCACGAAAGTCATCAGAAGGTAAAGACATGGGAGCTACACTGAGTGTTAAAGATGTAGATGCATCACGGATACACTCATCAACTTCCAAATTATCCAGTACCGGTGGTTTATCAGGAACACGAGTTGTCAGTCGTGCTAGCAGGTTAACAGATGCTACAAGTGCAGTGAGTACACACCACTATTACATTATACTCTTGTTATATTATTTGAGCCAATTTTTATTATAGTACTGGAAAAATAATCAAGCTTTCTATCATTTTCATTGTTTCTAGAAGTCACAAAGAGAAAGTAAATTAAGCATACCACTATCACCACAAGACAGACTGGAAGCAATCTGGTCAGCACTTCAAATGCCAGATAATTTAAAACTAGATATGGCTATTAAGTACAGTTCAGATGATTATATCAACCAACTGCCAGAAGTATGTACAACTTTTATTTGTAACAAACTGTATTCTATCTTTCATCTATGTTTATGTTCACATACCAAATTAAAGCTCAAACAGCATCTGCCACAAGTTTCCGTTTATTCAGCTACATGTATTTGTTTCATTTTGAAAACAAGCAGCCTCTCAACTGAGATAGCTCTGCTGTTAACAATGTACATTTCAATTAAAGATTTCAAAATATGCAATTTATGATAATTCAATGTGGCAGTGAATATATAGTAATATATAACATTTCCATACTTACATTATAGTCAATCGAAGCTTGGGAAAAGGCAACAGAAATAATTTTACAGAGGGAAGCATTAATTGCAAGACTTGAGTCATTTGAAAGGTTGGCATCAGATCCAGATAGATTCTTCCAAAAAGGTGAGGGGAGTTTTACACCAAGCTCTCAAGCTGCTTGATGAATAATATTACCTTCATTGCGATGTGAACACCAATATTAAGCATTCTTGAGTCAAATGACTCATTCGCAGATTATTGTTAATATATTATTTTGAATGTCGTGAATCAGACATCAAGAAGAGCACTGTCAAGTGTTCCTCGTTGTACTGAAGATGGTGCTCACACTGTGTTGCACGTCTTTTGTAAGTTT